CCCCAAAACCCCAAAACCCCAAAACCCCAATATCTGTATCTAGCATTGAATGTATTATAGGTGTTGACTCCAACATAAATTTTAAGCTCCATGTAAATGTCTTAATCTAGGCCCAATCACTTAAAAGCTGGTGAAGCGATCCTTCCTGATCCTGAGGACGTGCACCTGCTGATTCTGGAGTTGTCCCAATTTAGTCTCGTGTATAGCTTGAACACTTTAAGCCGAGAGTCCTGTTCACCAGCATCCTGTTCAATCGGCTGGGGACTCTTCCTGGTTCTGAAAGGACTGACGAAGTTGGAGACAACAGGAGGCTGCCTTCTCACTAATGGAGACTTGGTAAGCTTGATTGCTTTGAATTCTATAGAAATTGTTATATCAATAATCTGCAAAGATTTGTCCATTTTTGCAAATTTAGAAATGGCTGCATTAAAATAATATTTCATTAGCAAATTTTCTTTGAAATTTCTTCAACTCAACAAGGAAAGATAAATTTTTATAATGGGTCAAAAGATTTCACAATTTATTAAAAATTTCAAACTGTAGCTTCATCTAATCGGTTGAGCTCGTTGGAAATATTTATAACAAATTCCACTGAGAGGAATCACCATAAACCATGTTAATTTAGGGATGAATTAGTCACCTACTTTTTCAGGTTTTGACAATATCCAGAGGTCTCTTATGTTTCAGGAACCTCCTTCCTGAAAAGCAACGCTTTTGAGTCACTCAGGTCTTTCACTTCTTGGTTACATAGTTCAGAAGGTTGTAGGCTTCGACCCAACCTAGATATGAGTTAGTGGCTGTCAGATTTGCCAATAATTTTACCTCACTTGAGGGTAGTAAATTAATAAAAAAGCTGCAAACATAGATACTGCTGCTGCAGTACCCTTATTGCAAACTGATTAGAATTAATAAGTTATCTAAGAAATTTATTTCTTTGAGCATGCGCTTTGTCCAAGAAATGAGTTAAAAACCATACTTTGGAAAGACACACTCCTATAATTAAAAATTCGGATAAATGAGCAAGAATTATTTATCCAAAGCGTGAGACACTCCTTATAAGTAATGGTATGTATTATGTGCTGATGATAGCCCGTCTATCCTCTAATTTTGAATATTTTTCTAGTGTCGGAAAATATAACCCTAGCTCAATATGAAATCCCGATTGTGTTGACCATAACTCGACCTGACTTACTAGGCTTTATCTCTCTTATCTTTAGAGCGGTCTTGATTTGAGCCAAGTCAAGTTTCACAGGATGTCTACATTAAATGTAAGCAAACTAACACAGTTTCTGTTTGAATACTTACTTGAGAGCAGGACTCTTACTGATAATGCTTGCTTTAAAAGGTTCCTCTCATCCCAAATGTTGACTGGGGACTTTGCCATTCACTACTGGGGCCTGGTGAGATCTTTTGCGATGACTTAAGCTATAGGTGCGCATTTGAAATGAGTTCGAAGGAACTTGTAGGTTCTGCATATTATACTTAGAAAATTCAATAAGATGCTCGATATGGGGTTTTGGGGTTTTGGGGTTTTGGGG